GGAAGGAAGGAAGGAAGGAAGGAAGGAAGGAAGGAAGGAAGGAAGGAAGGAAGGAAGGAAGGAATAATCTGAATTGATTTGCAGGGTGAAGCTGAAGTTCAGCTGTTGTTATGCAGTGTGAATGCTTATTGCCGAAAGATTTTTTCCGAATAGCTAAAAAAGCTTAAACTATCAAAAAAAATAGGCTAATATGTAGCTGAATAAGCTAAAATAAAATAAAACAGAAAGAGCATGTTTGGTGAATTAAGCAGTAAGAAGTTGAAATTATCATAAAAGGTGAAATAAGCATTAAAAAGCTCAAATTAGCTAAAAAGTAGCTAAAAACACAAAAACAGCTAACAGTGACCTAAAAAGTTTAAAACAGCAGAAAGGAGCATAAAAAGTTTAATTTAGCAGAAAAATATCAAGGTCATATYGGGTGCTGATAAAGCAGAAAAAAGCTCAGATCAGCTAAATAGAAGCCAAAGAAAGCTAAAATGTGTACAAAAGAACAGAATGTAAAAGATGCAGTAAAGATTTATGAACACTTTAAAGGGTTTTATGGATTTCAGCTCCATTTGATTTGATTGAGAAAAAAATGTCAACAAAAGCTAAAATGTAAAATCGGCTGAATCATCAAAAATCACAGCAGGAATGTCACGAAGGAGCTGAACGCCGATTTCTATCGTTGAAAAAGCAAATTGCACGAGATTTTGTTCATATTCATTTAAAATAGTCTATTTTTGAAATTATGCTGTCATAGTTAAGATAATTTACCACTAGATTGTACATATTGTGCTCTCCAGAGCACAAAAGAAAGCTGGATTTCACCGTCCTGCTCATGAAAACCTTCAGGGTCAGTGCAGGATCTGATTAATGTGATGCTGCTCCTCAGTCCTCTCACCTCCTTCACACCTTTATTCTGAAAGTCCTTCACTAACATGACCTCTTTTGGATTTTTATGTTGTTTTATTTTTTAGACTGTGCAGAATGTCAGACCTGGCCTCCCAGGGAGAAGCAGGATTTATAAAAAGGCAATAAAAATGGAAGGATGAGGGAGACTTGGATGCACGGTGGTGACGGAGGGGCTGGGAGGATAACAAAGCGAGGCCCCCCTGATGGGAGGGCTTGTGGTGGGGCATTAACAGGATGTCCAGGCTGAGTAAATCTTCCACCAGCAGCTCAGATCCTAACCTGAGCAAACTTCCTAAACACTAACAGGCTGTCAGACACTGACAGGGAGCCGCGCTGCCGTTGTTCTCCTGGAGATCAACTCATTGGAAACATTGAGAATTATTGTTTGCATTTATAAACTTTAAGCTAATATATGTGAGGCTGATTGGTTTTCATTTTTTATTTGCATGAGGAAAAATTAAAGAAAAACCTGAAGATCATGAAGGTTCAGGATCTCCTKTCATAAATTTGCTGAGTTAGGGACAGAAAGATGTTTTCAGGACAAATGTTTAGTCTGATTTAGGGAATTTGAGCACCTTTTTTTCTGTCACGCCCCCTCACATACAAAAACATAAGAAACCGGAAGTAGATCTGCTCCTAAGCAGCGGGAGATTTTCCAATTAAGGCAGAATCCAGCATCAATTTAAGGGCTAATTATGTGCGTAATGAGCTCACCGCCGTGCGTCCGCGCCCCCGACAACCGAGCCCGCTGCACCAGTCGCCCCCGCACCAATTCTTCCCTCCTCCTCCCCCTCCCTCCCCCCTCCTCCACGCGAGCGCCTGGCAGCTAATTAAAAACCTACATGCGCCGCGGCGCCTTCATCTGATTCACAACATGGAAATTAATCCTCATATCAGCGAGTTCTGACAGACACCAGGCCCACTGCGGGAGGGGCGTGTGGCCTACTGGACTAAACTGGCTTCTAGTGGGGGGGGGCAAAAAAATAGCCAGGTCCACATAAAGTCCAAACCAAAACTCAAAAAGATTGTAAATTTGATCTAAGCTTTAGTTTCCATCTGTTCAACATTATTCAAACAACCTCAGGCTTTAAATTTAAAGAAAAACATCTGAAGTCAATGTGTTTCTGTGYGTTTAAGCAGAGAAATAAAAACATAGAAGTCTGGTAAAATAAATATAAATATAATAGGTAATCACAGAGGAAGAGTCCAGTCATTAAACTGGGGGTCTTGTCGTTTGTTCTGGTGGGAAACTGATCATGAGAAAAATGCTGACAGATCAAAAAGGAGTCAAATTACTTGGATTTTTTTATTGTTTACATGTTCTTCTTTTATTTCACTGAATTACACAATTAGCTATATTATACAAATAATGGCTTATTTATTTGTTTTTAATAAAAGGAGCTCTAGTCAATAAACTATTGGGGAAAATTGCATTAAATGTACACAATAAAAGCAAATTAAATTTGTGCCATTTTGTTAGAAACACGTGCAGAATCTGMTAATAATCCCTTCATATTTAGTTTAGCTCCTCACCTGCCGGGAAAAAAAAACAACCTTTGACGCGGATCCATCATCTGCGCGCTATAACGACAAAAACACAACAAGAACACATTTCAACTCAATCCGTGAAACGCCAAAAGTGCCGCGCGCACCGCCCCGCACCGCCCCGCACACTGGAACCCCCGAGCGGCCAATCACCGACGGGGCTCGAATCGCCTCCGTCCAATCAGAGCCGAGACGGAGGCTCGCTGTGGGCGGGGCCCCGGCGGCTCTGAGAGGCAGACGCTGAGGCGGTTCAGGAGAGTCGGACTGTTGGGCTCCAAATGCCACTCGTTGCGCGTGCTGATAATTTGGAGAGGTGCATGCAGCGCACGGCCCGCTCGCCTTTCCAGGTGCAAATCCACGAGGAGCTGGGAGCAGTTCTCTGAACTGGGACGGGCTGAACCCAGTTCAGGACAGGTGAAATTCCCAGCAGGCTGCATTTAAGGCCACAGGATCGATCCAGGTGCAAAGGAAGGGCTGGCTGTCCGCTCGGGTAGGAAAACTGCAAATCTATCCATCCGAACCCTTCATGTTTATATAATATTATAAAATAATATGTGTTTATATAATATTATAAAATAATATGTGTTTATATAATATTATATAATAATATGTCTGTTCAAATATCATATAAACACATCCGCCGCGCAGCTGTGGGAGTTTGACACGTTGTTTCAGGAACTGTTGGGTCAAATGTCATTTCCTCAGCAATTACAGAGGAAATGTCTTCATTTATCCTGGTTTAAAGATGAAATAATAACAATTTAATCTCACTCAAAATTTTCTGTAGAGAATAATATAAATCGATTTTTATCTGGTTTTGATTTTTTAGTGTTTATATTATTTTAAAT